ATGCAATGGCCCAATATATGTATCCGTTTTATTTTGTATATTTTACAAACACAAGACTGCTTCTTGCCAAAATTGAGAAAATATATATTATTAATGTAGTTGTGTATAAGACAAAATTTCATGAAAGATTCTACTTTTGGTATATATTTTGACTCATTTTGTGCTTTCGCTGCACCTTGTTAACATATTAAATAATAGCGTTGCTTCGAACTTTATGATAAAAAACCCGATTTTCTAGACGTGTATACAAATAAAAATAGTAAGTTTATACTATAAATGAGTTTATTTTACCTGTATCGGTTTAAATTCGCCGTTAAGTTGTAAATAATTCTGTTCGAGAACGCAATAATTGGGCATTTCGCAACCAGGGCAGTTTCAGGGCAGTTTGGCCTTGTTGTTGGGAAATCCACTAGGCCTTCTAGGCTTCCTTCCTTCCTTATTTAATTAAATAAGACTAGAAGGCCTAGGTCTAGGCTCAGACTCGTCCCCAGTCGCTTTAAGAGCGGGCGCGCGGCCAGAAGTGGGAAATATATATATATATATATATATTCGTCCCTATAAAATTGAAATTCAAATATAAACGACTGGGGACGAGTCTGGTCTAGGCTGGTAATATTCCAAAGTTTCGTTGCGAAATGTTGTAAAATGCGGATAATATAGCCTTGCGAAATTTGTAATTTTCAGTCATTTTAGATCACAAACGAGAAATGGTTACCACTTTTCCAAAATTTTGATCTTAACTAGCCTAAACAAAAATTCATTATAGCATGAAAAAGCATCACAAAATTTGAAAATTAGTAATATTCCAAAGTTTCGTTGCAAAATGTTGTAAAATGCGGATAATATAGCCTTGCGAAGTTTGTAATTTTCTGTCATTTTGTATTGCGCAAAGAAGTGGTAACCATTTCCCGTTTGTAATCTAAAATGACTGAAATGTTGAAATAACATTTTGCAACGAAACTTTGGAATATTACTAATTTTGTGATGCTCCTTCAAGCTGTGGCAATCGATACACCAGGCGGAAATCTTAGTTTAAAGATAAAGAGCAAAGCCCAGCAAATGATAATAATCATTTATTCATTTTGTAATATTAAACCATTATTTGGTAAATATATATACCATACCCTGTAAATTCATTTAGATTGCTCTGAAGATGTTGTATTGTAAACAACGAAACGTTAGCTAATTAAATTTTTACTTTTATTATGTTTGGTTTTAAAGTTATTTGCTGGGCTTTGCTCTTTATCTCCTTCAAGCTGTGATGAAATTTTTGTCTAGACTTGTTGAGTTCAAAATTTTGATTAATTGGGGAATGGTCCATTACATCAGCCACTTGTCGTGACAGCGACAACTAACGACCAAATGGAAACTAAGCTTAAATTGGATAATCCTGAATATACATGCATATATTGTTAAAAACATGCAAATACAATACTAGCAAACAACCTGCGATTGACAAAGTTATTGTTCGTATTAATTGTAATCTTGAGTCTTGACGGAACTGTTAGAAGCATGCAAGCCACTAAAACTTTTAATTCATGAGTCTCAGTTGTCAAGCTTGTAAAATAGTAAAAGTTTCACTGGATTTCAAGAAATCGCCGTAGAAAAAATTGTTGGTGCATGCATAGACAATCAATTCCTTTGATTGCATGTCTATGGTGCATGCAATGGGCCTATACAAACAACTCGGCTTCGTTGTCTAATTGTTAAATCCAGTGTTACTACAGGGCCATGGGGAAACCTAAACTCAACTATAACTTTACCTATATATATACTGGATAGTTCTATCAGTTCTAAACTGTTCTGTTTGGCTATAGTATAAAGGTCATTTCAGTATTAGGGAGTTTACGATCTGCGACGCAGCCGGCTCAACGACGCGGTCTAAATTTTAGCTCAAGAATAAGCGCTAAGCAATTCGATTACTGTAATAATATTTGACTCTTTCAAATAACCTTACAAAATGCTACGTTCGGCTATAAAAGCGAAGCAATGTTTGCTGTAATTTCGACTTTTAGTAACACCTCTTGGGTCGCATTAAGCTTTCGCGTTGCCTGAAAGACGTAATAATGCTTTTTTAACGTTGTGTTGAGAATGACAACGCGGTTGACAATACTCATGGGACCACAAATTATTGACAGTGTTTGTCTTGCATGACGAATTTCTTTGTAAGTTCTTTGTAGGTTTGCATGGAGATGAAACACATAATACTATTGTTTGTGGAATCACCAAATTTCTTTGTTTTGAAAGCGCGTCGTCGAGCCGGCCGCGTCGTAGATCGTAAACTCCCTAATATTGCAATAGTAAACATTAAACTATATGCGAGTCTAACCGCTAATTCTGACTTTGTTCACCTGCAGGACAGTTTGCGTTCATTTATATGCAACCCCGAAATTCAAACGAGGTAATATTCCTAAATCCAACGGTTCGCGAGCATTTTGCGAGAGGCATGGTCCACACGCTGCCTACCACGTCTACAGCTTGGCCCCATCAGTCTGAGAAGAGCAATTTCAGAATGGCCATACCTGACTATGACCAATCTGACGATGACCGACGAACCAACAATGGACATTCAGAGCACAAACTGTTGGCAGAGTATGGACTGAAAACAATGGTGACCAATTTCCAATCAGAGCAGAGAAGTCAAAACCCTCAATGGAAATACGTAATTCTGTATTCCAAACTCATACCTTGTGTATATCCGAAAAATCCGAATTATCCCCGATGCACCGGCATGATAATCGAAGCAAGAAAATACCTCGAAAGCATCTGTGGCCCCGACACAAAATTTTACATTTACACGACTATGGAGACTCCTTTAACAATCGACAATCCAAACCTATCTCGAAAACAAAAGAAAATGTTAAGAAGAAAAATTAGAACCTTTCAGAACGAAATTGAAGGAGAGAATATCGTCTGGATTTATCCTGGTTGTTGAAGACCCTGCATGAGGAACGATACAGGTACTTTGTCTAGCAAACAATTCGACTTGCTTCGTCAAATTAGTTTTAAACAAGGCTTTGCAGTAGTAGCGTATAATTATTATTATTTATTTCTATATGATAACACTACAGTGGTCTATTCGTAGTCCAAACACTAACTGAATATATATTGATGTTCTTTGGTTTATATGAGTTTATATAGTTAATATTACCGAGTAATATATGCTGTCGAAATTACATAGCGTAAATATTGGAACAAAATACTAAGCTGTTTTACATATTGATATTTGTAAAATGTATTAATTTTTCATGAAGAAAATTTAAAAATATGTATTCACACTAAGTCATATTCAAATTTTCCTGATTGCATAAACTTTTTCCTCAATGTTCTCAGTTAAAATTACTTCTATTTATTTGAATAATTCCTTAAAATACAACTGCATGTTGAAAGTTGAGTGGGCGAGTGGTTATATATCTGATACAATCAACATTATCCAGTATAAGTACAGTATACGTTTTTTGGTACACAAGAAAATAAAACCCTGTTGAATGCTAACTTGTTTATATATATTAATTTAAGCAGGACTTTCAATACAAGCTTGCAAGTTAATTTCAGTGCAGAGAGCTATTAATTCCTGTTTTATTTAGGTGAGAATCTTTTTGTTATATACTAATAGCGGTTGTTTTAATTTTAGGGGAGTCATCTGAAACAAACAAAATGTGCAACCCAAATGAGGGAAACAAGGATGTGTGCAGTATTTGTAAAAAGCAACAAAAAGAAGACAATGATTAAATGCGGAAAATGTGACCAGTGGTTTCGTTGTAAATGTGTCGGTATAACATATGGAGTGATGCCAAAAAACAACACTCTGATTTTCGCTGTGATGTTTGCAAGTGAAGGGCTGTAAAATATTTTCATCTAGACTTTGATAAAAACGTAGAAAGGGATGTTTTAAGACATCTTAATTGTACAAGAGAGAGCAAATCCTTTTCTTCCTTTCGAAAGAAAATCGCTACTCACATTGATTGATAGCTAAACTGAAAATATAGATGTTATATAATGTACCTGTATATAGATTATTACTTTATAGTTAATTTTGTTAGTTCATATACTACTAGGCTATGTATCTTAATTTTGTAAATAGTTTTAAAATTTATTTTCTGTATATATACTTTTTCGCACACGCCCCTCCTGGTTAGGTGTAAAAAATGTGTATAAATTTCCACTCAATAATTTCCATCTACAATATATACGCTTCAACTATTTTTCAATCGAGTGAGACGCCAACAAAATCTTGATACACATAACCTACAACATGGCAGTACCCTAGGACATACTATACATGAACTTGTGGTTATAGAGCTCGACAAAAGGCCTCTGTAATTCAGTTGGTTAGAGCGCTGCACCGAAATCGCAAGGCCGTCTGTGAGCACGAATCACTGTTTCATGCTCACAGACAGACAAACAACCAAACACACAAAGGTGGAAACATAAAATATTAACTCACTTGCAATCAGCGGCTTCAGTGGTTTCGTCACAGGTAGACCTTTCCCAATCGGAGCATTCACAAAATCCAAGAACTCATTTTCGGGGCAACTTGAGTAGAGGTTTGCGGCTTTGGCCGTGTCCATGACGGATCCACCCCCTACTGCTAGAAAACAGTCAAAATCACCTTCCTTTGCAAAGTTGATCGCCTCCTGGAAACTAAAAACATTACATTGTGAAATTGTGACAGCCGCAACTAAATTTGTGACATAGTGGCAGAGCTCTCGTCACAGCAACTTAGTGATGGTCGCCACAATCACTGGGCATGCTTCGCGAAATATTGTGGATGTAACGGCAAAATTAGTGTAGACAAATTATAACAAAAATATTTCATCTTCAGAACAGAAATATCAGGAGAAAGATTTCTTGTTTTAAAAACATACATTTCACATGATATTCTTTGTTAACGGTACATATTTAAAATATGACAAAATCTCTAAACGGAAATCAAAATGCCTGGAAGTGCCACATGGTCTAAATTTTCCACAGGGAGATAGCCTTGGACTGCCAATGAAGGTGACACCAACAACTTGTCATCAAGACTTTTCGCGACAGGTTTGTAGCAAGCTTCTTAACAAGTCGTGACAACCAGGTGATCTCGTGTTCGTATTTTAGCCAATCAGCGCTCAGAAAGGGTTGTCCGAATAGAAATCCATTTTGATGTATTCAGTCAATTATATCTTTCGTTATTCTTTATGAAACTAGTTGAAATTTTGTAATTATGTTTGGTTATAGAACTATAGCTCTGACAAAAATATGGAATCGAAATAAAGTATATTACAGGAGATATTCAGTTGTTTTAATCATAAAATGGATTTCTATTTGACAACTAGTGCCAGTACTTTTCCGCGTATCAAGATCACCTGGAATGCTGTTCCAACAACTTGTCAACAAGATGTCTCCGCAACAGGCTTGTAGCAAGCTTGTTAACAAGTTGTGACAATGCTGTTCCAACAACTTGTCAACAAGACTTTCCGCGACAGGTTTGTAGCAAGCTTGTTAACAAGTTGTTCCAATGCTGTTCCTGTCAACAAGATGTCTCCTCAACAGGTTTGTAGCAAGTTTGTTAACAAGTTGTGACAATGCTGTTCCAACAACTTGTCAACAAGACTTTTCGTGACAGGTTTGTAGCAAGCTTGTTAACAAGTTGTGACAATGCTGTTCCAACAACTTGTCATCAAGACTTTCCGCGACAGGTTTGTAGCAAGCCTGTTAACAAGTTGTGACAATGCTGTTCCAACAACTTGTCATCCAGACTTTTTGCGACAGGTTTGTAGCAAGCTTGTTAACAAGTTGTGTCAATGCTGTTCCAACAACTTGTCAACAAGACTTTCCGCGACAGGTTTGTAGCAAGCTTGTTAACAAGTTGTTCCAATGCTGTTCCTGTCAACAAGATGTCTCCTCAACAGGTTTGTAGCAAGTTTGTTAACAAATTGTGACAATGCTGTTCCAACAACTTGTCAACAAGACTTTTCGTGACAGGTTTGTAGCAAGCTTGTTAACAAGTTGTGACAATGCTGTTCCAACAACTTGTCAACAAGACTTTTCGTGACAGGTTTGTAGCAAGCTTGTTAACAAGTTGTGTCAATGCTGTTCCAACAACTTGTCAACAAGACTTTTCGTGACAGGTTTGTAGCAAGCTTGTTAACAAGTTGTGACAATGCTGTTCCAACAACTTGTCAACAAGACTTTTCGTGACAGGTTTGTAGCAAGCTTGTTAACAAGTTGTGAAAATGCTGTTCCAACAACTTGTCATCAAGACTTTTCGTGACAGGTTTGTAGCAAGCTTGTTAACAAGTTGTGAAAATGCTGTTCCTGTCAACAAGATGTCTCCTCAACAGGTTGTAGCAAGCTTGTTAACAAGTTGTGACAATGCTGTTCCAACAACTTGTCAACAAGATATTTTCTCAACAGGTTTGTAGCAAGCTTGTTAACAAGTTGTCACAATGCTGTTCCAACAACTTCACAACAAGATGTGTTTCCAATAGGTTTGTAGCAAGCTTGTTAACAAGTTCACTGGTGTAACTTTACTTTTTTGACTACTTGCCAGGGCAAGTTGGACATGAGAATTAGTTGCCCTGCATAAAATTCACTTGCCATCAGACAATGGCCACAAATGTGTATTACCTTTCATCAGTGGGTTCAATTCTGACATTATCAAAAACATTGTGTTTCACTCCATGGACGCACAATGAGTTCAGAGCTTCAAACACTGGTGGTAGCTCACTCAACTAATAAATGAATTTAACAAATAGTTGTCTAATTTATTTTTGTCCAAACTGACAGGCTGTCTGACAGTACGGTAGTTAACCTAACTTGGGTAATTATATCGTTGCATTACCATAAAAACCTAGTTTTGTGGAAACCTAATCTGGTTTCCCTAAAGATATTTGGTTACCCTAGAATCAATGAATGTACGTGCTTTTTGTTGGTCTGGATCTAGAGCAGACGTAATTGGTTTTCCAGCACTAGACAAAATCTCCCATGCTTGCAAGGAGAATCTCCTATAGACAAAGATAGAGCCCCAAAGAATCTATTATACATGTGCTCTGTGTTTAATATGCCCCCTAGTCTACGGAGGTAGTGTAGCTCCATGGCTCTGTCTAACATCTCAAGCGCTGCTCAAATGCAAAACATGTATATCAATTAACTTGCCTTCTTGTCAGTAACAACACAAACATTTTTCGCCCCCATGTTCTTAAAATCCTGTCAATGAAAACAAAAAACATCTACACATTTGGAGTTGAAACAGAGGTCTCTCAAAGTTCAATATTTTCATAATATATGACATTTAATCATGTCACCATAACATACATACCATGCCAACTTCCTGGGTAACCCCTGCACCATAGCGTATACTGGACGATGCCATCTGTACCAAAAGAAAGATAAACATAATTTTACCAAAGTTTATCAAATTAGGGTGCGTTGTAGCTCAATGGGTTGCACACAACCAACATGGGACGATAGTCTGGCTAAGCTGGCTGGTTTGTGACCAAACTGCCAAAAAAGAAAGAGTGAATTTGCTTTGAAAGACTTTCCAATTGATTATTAATATTCTGGTCTATTTTAATATGATTATTTCTATCTGCATTGACCTTAATGGGATAAGATTTGTATCAAGGTTAGTAATATTTCACCTCAAATGCATATTCCTTGCTCTGTTGTACTTCAGCAGATGGTACGGATGCATGTCGATGCCCTGAAAAAATTGTTCCAGTTATTCAGAAATTTTTACTTGAGGATCGGAATGACCAAATGGATATCCTGGTCACAGAATACTGTGTAAGCGTCATTGATCATGATTCGTCACTCAGCAAGTACCGTAAACAAAAGCAGTCCCCCCTGGACATGTGCCCATTTTTAGTATTTCCAGGGGGGAACTGCTTCTGTTTACGGTACTTGCTGAGTGACGAATCATGACGAATAGAGCTTACGCTAAAAGCAATGGAGATGAACTTCTGTGTAGTATTCTGTGTCCTGGTTCTGGATCCCATCATGGAATCACAGGCGTGACGTACCACGGAACTTCCCACATATATCCGGGAGTCATATAAACCGCCCCCAGTGGGCCCCACTACAACTATAGAGTTATTGCAAATTTTTCAACTTACCATGGTGACTGAAGGCTTGTGAATGAGCTGGGCAGCTGCATCTAAAATAGAGCAGATTTTAGTATAAATACTTTGTGTAGTTTGTGAACAGTATGAATTTGACAAATTCACAAATGCATTCAATATTATACTTACTGTGTTCCACTAAGAAGCCTGAGAACCCTCAAAATCGCTTCCCTGCTAACTGTTTTGCTCATTTTTCTTTGCACAAAACTTATATTTATTATTTGCGCTGAAAAAATATGGAGCAGAAATCACTGCATTTACAATATTACGCAATTTGATATTGGGGTATTTAATATTATTTTTACTACTCCCCCCGGAATAATGATGGCATTTCACACTGTAGACGCTTATACACGGGGGGGAGACAAGAGAATTACCCAGTAATTCAAACGGAATTTTCAATGTACAAATTTGGTTTTTCATCTGCTTCCTTCGTTTTAGAAAGAAATAATGTCTTGCAAACAAAATTGTAAAACAATGTTTCACACTATTTTCTTTTATTCATTTTCATCCAAATAACATCGCAAAAGTTTATTTTTCCTAAAAATACCGAAGTGGAAAAAAGTGGAAACAGTTATTATCCTTCACAATTGAAAAATGATTCAGTCAAAGTGGAAGAACCAACCTTCTTTTATAAAAATATCCAATTTATAGTTTTTTTTCCAAAAAAATTGTTGCAAAATCTTTTAAAAATGACTTCGACAGGCACGGCTTTGTTCGGCTCAAACATCGGCAGTTCTTCGAAGAATTTAGTCGAGTTTCGGGCAGGAAAGATGAAATTAAACGGTACGACAGTCACAGCGGACAAACGGAAAGGTTTGGTGTACGTTTTTCAAGGGGAAGACTCGCTGATGCATTTCTGTTGGAAGGACCGAACCACGAGCACAGTCGAGGATGTATGTTGGTTTAAATATGAGTATTTGTTGCGCTTTGCTTACGGTGCTTCTTGTTATTCGACTTTTGTGACGTTTCTTTAGAGTATTTTAAAATTCGTCATTTGAATGATGTGATTTAGTGAAGTGGCTCAATCAAGGAACCTGATTGGCTGATTTTTTGCGAATATTGCCGGCGTTTATTGATTTCGCAAAATACCATGCGCCAGGAGGATTAGAGATTGATAGACATTGGTCAACTTCAAAAATGTTGATATTTACAGGAATTTCTTGTTGTTTATTTTTGAAACTGGTTATTAGTCCGCAAACGGATACTAACGAGCCAACGCTATTTGTCCGGCACAACTATTTTCTTTGTTCTATCAACATGCTGAAATGACATGAAGTGAATTTCATTGATTTGCAAGCAAATGTTTGGTAACCTATTGGTTAAGCCACTCTGATCAGTTAGGGACAGGTGCGGCTAATAAGTTTTCATTTGAATGAACCAATCAATTAAATTCACAGACAAATAGCCAAAGCTTGTTGGTCTCTGTGGCTGGACAAATAACAATGTTGTTTATTTTTTGTCAATTACAAGACTACTACATATAATGAAGAGAATGAACATTATTTTCTCACTCTGATAACCGCAGGTTGGCTGCCATCTGCTGCACGATAGTATTTGAAATTTTCCACCATCTTTTCATTATTTTAAGCTGCTTTCCGTGCCGTCCTGTCACTCGTTGTTTTGACTCAGTCATGAACATTTTTAGGATTTAATTATCTTCCCTGATGACGTGGAGTATAAAGCAGTCAAACAATGCAAAACTGGCCGAGTTTTCATTTTGAAGTTCAAAAATTCCTCGCGTAAATTGTTCTTTTGGATGCAAGAACCGAAGGCGGACAAGGATGAGGAATTGACGAAAAAAGTCAATGATTTTTTGAACAACCCCCCTGCACCAGGATCGTCTGGTGGTGGGTTGAGGCATTTGGGTGATCAACTGATAGGTAGGTATGAAATTTCCAGGGGGTATTCTTTTATAATTGTAAACTAGAGACATTTTACACAATGGGCTAATCATGTATCGAGTTTACTTTGCCCAGGAAAGGAAGACAAACCATTGCTAATTTCCGATGCAAAACTTAGTAGATTTGTCCAAGAAATGTATTGAACTAATCAACTACCACACAATGTTGTTGCTTGGTTGTAGGTGACACAAGTCTGCAAGGTTTGATTGGTAACATGGACCAACAACAGCTGCTACAGTTGCTTGGTAGTGGTCAGGGTATGGCAGGTCTTACCAGCCTCGCTGGTTTGACGTCCCGAGGTTCAAGTGCTGGTAGTACTCAA